AGTGCCCCCAGTGCCTATTGCCAGTGCCCCCAGTGCCCGCTCCCAATATTCCCAGTGCCCCCAGTGCCCATTGCCAGTGCCTCCACTGCCCGCTCCCAACGCTCCCAGTGCCCGCTCCCAACACTCCCAGTACCCATTCCCGGTGCCTCCAGTGCCTATTCCCAGTGCTCCCCACTCTCAGTGCCCACAGTCCCCACTCTCAGTGCCCACAGTCCCCATTCCCAGTGCTCCTCATTCCCAGTGTCCCCAGTGCCCATTCTCAGTGCTCCCAGTGCCTCCAGTGCCCCCGGTGCACACATGGAAGTGATTCGGGGCTGGTTCTGCTCCCCCCTGAGGGGCCGCGGTGCCCCCGGCCCAGCCCCCGTTGTCACCACGGGAGGGGTAAGGGGGGGCTGCCGCGACCCCTGCACTGTGTGGGGGTGTCCCCTGGCCCTGGGGACCGGGACGGGGACAGGGATATCTCTGGTTCTGCAACCTCCATCCTGCTGAGACCCCCCCCAAACTCGTGTCATGGTGGGGGGACTCACGTCGGACCCTGAGCCAGAGTGAAAAATGGGGGTAAATCAGTCAAAAAGGAGGGAAGGAGAGATGGGAAGAAGGGATGGAGGGATGGAGAAAGGAGAGAAGGAGGGATGAAGGGGAGGACGGGCAGATGGAGAGATGGAGGAGGGGTCGGGGGGCTGCCGGGGGTCAGCGGATGGAGCGAAGCCGAGCTCCCCGGGGGGAGGAACCCCCCCCCCGCCCCCGCGAGGACCCGGCGTCCGGCCGGGGTATAAATACCGGGTAATTGCGGGGGCCCGGCGCGGCCGCGGGGCCGTGGGCGGCCGAGCCCGGCGCCGCCCTGTAATCAGCCCCCGCCGCCGCCCCCCCCCCGCGCGACCGCCCGGCTTTGAAGGGTCCCGGGGGACACAAGAGGGGTCCCCACCAACCCCAAGCCTTGGGGAGGCCCCCACCCCAATTTACACCCCCCCATCTGGGCACCAGGCGTTGGGGCAGCTCCCGATCCCCCCTCTTTGGTGAACCGAAGCCTCGCGGTCCACGCTGGTGGGAGTCACCCCCCCAAAAAAAAACCCCTCATGGTGTGCCCCCCAAAAAACCCCGTGGGATGTGTGTCCCCCTCCCCCGCGCCGCTGGCTGAGGAAGAGGAAGGATGGAGCGGCCGTCCCAGTTTGCTCCCAGTTTGTGGGCAGTGGAAGCCCCAGAGAGGGGGGGGCCGAGGCGGGGGGGGCCGGTGGTTGTGGCCTTCGGCGGCGGCCGCGGCGCCGGCGGCGGCTCCGGAGCGGAAAGCCCTGAGTCAGGGCTGGGAAAGGGCCCCGCTGGCTCCCGACTGGCCACGGCGGGGGGAAAACAGGGAAAGAGGGAAATCGAACAGAAAAAGGGAAAAGAAATGGGAAGAAAAAGGGGAGTAAACAAAAGAAAAACGGGGGAAAACAGAAGGTGGGGTGGAAAAAGAGTGGTTGGAACAATCCCTCCATGGGGGGAAACTGAGGCACGAGGGGGTCCCCAGCCCCATGTCCACTCATGGCCCTGTCTCCAGTCCTGCTCCTGGCACATGTCCCCTGTCCTTGTCCCCATCTCTGTCACCCCCAGTCCTGTCCCCCCTCTCTGATCCCCATTCCTGGTCCCCCCAGCCCCATCCCTGATCCATCCTCAACCTGTCTCTGACTCCTGGCCCCATTCCTGGTATCTCCAGTTCTAACCCAGACCCCTCTCATCCCCATTCCTGGCCCTCCCCATCCCTGGTCCATCCCTATCCCATCCTCATCCCTGGTCCACCCATTCCCATCCTGGGTCCAGTTCTATCCCCATCTCTGCTCCATTCCCATCCCTGGGGTCTCCAAGTCCATCCTTGGTCCTGTCTCTATCCCTTCTGAGTTCCTCTCCCTGTTCCATTCCTATCCCATCCATCCCTGTCCCCATCCTGTGTCCCTCTCTCCCATCCTCATCCCAGACCCTCATCCCCATCCCTGCACCATCCTACTGGCACCTTTTGGGGTGAGAGCCCGGGGGTGCCCCAGCTCTCCCTTCTCCCTTTGTCCCTTTCTGCCCTTTCCCCTCCCCATTCATCTATTCCTTCTTCTGCTTTTCTCATTTCCAGCACTTTTCCCATTCCCATCCCCTTCCTTCTCCTTTTCCCGCTGTCTATCCTTCTCCCCCCTCTTCTTTCCCTCCCCCTTTTCCTCCCCATTTCCTCTTCTCCCCTTAGTTCCTTTCTCTTCCCCTTTCCTTTTCCCTCCTTTCCCTTCCTTCCCCCTCCCCACTCTTCTCCTTCCCTCTTCCCCACAGCCCCCTCTCTCTTTCAGCCTCTTCATCTTCCTCTCTCCACAACTTTTTCTTTGCCTCCTTCTTTCATTTTCCTTCCATTTCCTTATATATTTTTTCCTTTTCCTTCCCCTTTTACCTTTCCCTTTTAATTTACTTTCTGCCTTTCCTTTCTGCCTTTCCTTTTTTCCTTTCCTTTCCCTTTCTTCCTCTTCTCTTTTCTTTCTCTTCTTTTTTTCCCCTCCCTAATTTCATCCCCTCTTTCAACTCCTTGTTCCTTTTGCTCAGACTCCTTCCTTTCTTTTTCCCTTTCTCTTCTTTTCCTTCCTCTTTTCCTTTCCCCTTCCCTTTTCCTCTTCCCCTGCCCCCCTTCCCCCGCCCCCCCCCCCCCTCGACCCCCCCGGACGGGGGGCGGTTCGGGGCCGGGCTCCCGCTCCCGGCCCCGGTCCCGGCCCGGCCCAGCCCCGCCGCAGCGGCACAGCGGGGCGGGCGGCGGCCGCGGTGCTCCCTCCCTCCCTCCGCACCGAGCCCCGGCATCCCGGGACACCGGCACCGCGGGACACCGGCACCGGCATCCCCGCCGGCGGGACCCACCCCCGGCATCCCTGGACCACGGACCCCGGAGCGCGGTAAGGAGCCCAGGGACCGGGACCTTTTGGGATGGGGGACCACCCTCCCCTGGGACCGGGACCTTTGGGATGGGGAACCACCCTCCCACGGGACCCTTTGGGATGGGGGACCACCCTCCCCTGGAACCCTTTGGGATGGGGGACCACCCTCCCCCAGGACCGGGACCCTTTGGGATGGGGGATCCCCCTCTGGGAACAGGGACCCTTTGGAATGGGGGATCTCCCCCCAGGGACAGGGACCCTTCGAGATGGGGGATTGCCCTCTGGGAACAGGGACCCTTTGGAATGGGGGATCTCCCCCCAGGGACAGGGATCCTTTGGGATGGGGGATCCCCCGCTGGGGACAGGGACCCTTTGGGATGGGGGATCCCCCTCTGGGGACAGGGACCCTTTGGGATGGGGGATTGCCCCCCAGGGACAGGGACTCTGTTATGGGACCCATCCCTTTTCCTGGATGGGAGAGACCTTCGGGGTACGGGACCCCCCCAAAGACTGGGACCTGTGCAAGGCCTGAGCATCCCCCCACGGTCCCTGTGCCAGGGGACACGTGTGTCCCCTTCCCCGGCGGGGTCTGCACCCTGCTGAGCCCGGGGAGGGGACAGGGACAAGGGGATGGTGCTGAGTGCCACCTTCACCCCAAACTGTCCCCTCACTGGGGATGGGTCCACCCGGAGCAGGAGGTCCAGGGTTAGGGGTGTCCCTGGATGCAGGGGACCAGGGCTGGGGTTTGGGGACCTGGGACTGGGGACAAGAAACTGGGGACTTGGGGGACCAGGGACTGGGGACGAGGGGACAGGGATTGGGGAACTGGAATTGGGGACCAAGAACTGGACCCTGGGGATCAGGGACAAGGGATTGGAGAACTGGAATTGGGGACTGAGAACTGGACACTGGGGATCAGGACAAGGGGTTGGGGAACTGGAATTGGGGACCAAGAACTGGACACTGGGGATCAGGGACAAGGGATTGGGAATTTAGGACTGGGGACCCCCGGAACAGGGGTTGAACCCCTCCCTCCCAGGAGGGGACACAGGAGGGCTCAAGGTCCCTGACACAGCAGGAGCCACCAAGCTGTCACCGCGTGCAGCAGCCACTCCTGCCGCGAGTTTGTGCCGTTCTCAGCCCGCGGCTCCCGGGGCTCCTTCCCTGCTCCTAATTTCCCGGCGCAAGCGGAGCTGATTTATGGGAGTTTGACACTATTTTAAGCGTGCGCCTCCGTTTGCCGCTCGCCCTGGTTTTAATTACCTCGGCTCTCGCGGCAGGGCAGCGTTCCCGGGGCACAGGCCTGGCCCTTGTTATCCTTGGAAAACCGGGAGCGCGCTTGCGGCCGCGGCCCGGGGCCGGCGTAAAAATAGGCGCAAAACCCACGGTAAAAGGAAGGGGGGGTGGGGGGACACCCTAAAAAAAAAAATTCAAAGCAAAAAAAGCTGAAAAAGCCACAAAATGGGTGAAGGGATAAATTTTTTTAAAAAGAAAAAGAAATTAAAGTAAAGGGAGACCTTGGGGTGATGGGGGTGAGGGGGCTCAGCCCGCGCAGCTGAAAGCCATGACGGGTATAAAAGCAGAGGAAGTCGCCTGGGAAGGGGGGAGGCCGCAGAGTAATTCGATTAAAAGGCCATAAAGGCGGGGGGGGCCGACCAAGGGGGGGGGGGGGAGTGGGTGGGGGGGGGTCCAGCCACCAGCACAACCCCCCTGTCAGCCCCTGGAGAAGCATCTGGGAGGGTGATGCTGGGCGGACACGGGGTGGTCTCAGCTCTGCGGGGGGAAACTGAGGCAAAGGGGAGGGGGAGCATCGGGGGTGGGGGGTGGCACGAGGGGCGGGGGGTAGCTGGGGGGTGGGTGCTGCTGGGTGCCCCCCTGCCCCAATACTGGTGCCCCCAGTGCTGGGCGTCCCCTTGTACCAAGTGCCCCATCGCACCGGGTGCCCCCCCGGGACCGGTCACCTCGCGGAACACGGTGCCCCCCAGCACCCTTAACACCCCCTCCTCCTCTCCCACAGGCTGCTGAGCACCATGGCCGTGAGCCCCCGCTGACATCACCCCCCCGCACACCTCGGGGTGCTCCCAGCGCCGCCCCCCGACGCCTCGGGGTGCTCCCAGCGCCGCCCCCATGGGTGACTCCTACGCCACCGCCTTCCCCAGCGCCCCGGGGCTGCTCTCGCCCTCCGCCAGCCCCCAGGCCTCCCCCGGCCCCTACGGCCCCGACTACGGCCCCTTCGGCCACCCCTTCCCGGCCCCCTCGGGCACCCAGGAGGTGCTGGGAGCCCCCGTGGTGGTGACAGCCAAGGGACACCCCCCTGGCGACTGCCTGCCGGGGGTCTACCCCTCGCTGGAGATGCCGCATCCCTACGGCTCCTGGTACAAGGGCGGCATCGGCGGGGGGCTGCCGGGGGGCTCGGGGCCGGCGGCCCCTTCCTGGTGGGACGTGCACCCCAACGGGGGCTGGCTGGGGGGGCCCGCGGGCGCCGAGGGGCTGCAGGGCTCGCTGCAGGGCCAGCCCACCCTCAGCCCCCCGCTGCCCACCTACGGCTCCGACTTCGGGGCTCTGAACCCCCCGCCTTACACCAACCCCCCCGCCGCGCCCCCCCGCCCCGAAGCCCAACCCGGGCGAGGCCCCGAAGGGTCCCCGCGGCGGCTCTTTAGGGGGTCGCCCGGCGTGCGATTGTCCCAACTGCCAGGAGCTGGAGCGGCTGGGGGGGCCGGGGGGGGCCCGCAGGAAGCCGGTGCACAGCTGCCACATCCCGGGCTGCGGGAAGGTGTACGGGAAAGCCTCGCACCTGAAGGCTCACCTGCGCTGGCACACGGGCGAGAGGCCCTTCGTCTGCAACTGGCTCTTCTGCGGGAAGCGCTTCACCCGCTCCGACGAGCTGGAGCGGCACGTCCGGACCCACACGCGGGAGAAGAAGTTCACCTGCCTGCTCTGCAGCAAACGCTTCACCCGCAGCGACCACCTCAGCAAGCACCAGAAGACCCACGCGGACCCCGGCCCCCCCAAGCCGCCCCCCGGCACCGAGCAGCCCCCGCCCGCCGCGTCCCCCCGCCAGCCGCCCGCCTCTCCCGGCAAAGACGCCGGGAGTCCCGAAGCCGGGAGTTTGTTGGAGATTTGAGCCTTTCATCCTTCCATCCTCATCCTCCTCCGCGCCGCTGGGGATATTTATTATGGGGTGCTGCCCCCACCCCCACTTCTCCCCAAATCTCCCCCTATCCCCCCGCCCCCCAATTCCTCCCCAGCTCCTCGTTAGCCGTTGTAATTTATGTCTTAAATTATGGGGGGGCTCTCCGAGCGCTCTGGGGCTCACTGGGGGGGTGTCAAGGTGAGACCCCTCCCTTCTTTCTCTTCCTCTTCCCCCGCCCAAACCTTCTCGCCCCCTCCAAAGCCCCACCGGCCGCCTCGTGCCCCCGCACTCAGGGACAGGGTTTGCCCCCTCCCCCAGCCTCGTTAGCACACCCGGTTCGTCGGTGCTAATGTAACGTGCCCCCCTCCCCTCTTTTTTAGCTGGCTGCCCCCCCAAAAAACAGCAATAAAGGGATTGAGAGTGGAGCCGCGCCCCCCCCTCACCTTCTCCTGCGGCTGCGGGGCTGAGGCCGGGCGGCTTCGTCACAGGGATGGGCTCAGCTTCCTCCCACACTCCTCCTCTGTGGGGCTCACAGGGAAACTGAGGCACGGGGGGGGACATGGCCCTGCTCGGGGTCACCATGTCCTCCCCTCTCTGGGGGTGACAGGAGTGGGGTTGGGCACCAGCTGGTCTGTCCCTGTAACCCTGTGCTCCCCTGTCCTTGTGTCCCCGTGTCTCCAGGACCTTGGGTCCCCGTGGTCCCATGTCCCTCTCCCCATTCCAGGACCCCAGTGTCCTGTGTCCCCAGTCCCATGTCCCCATGTCTTGTGGTCCTGTGTCCATCCCTCCTGTGTCCCCACAGCCCCATGTCCTCCTGTCCCCATGGCCGTGTGTCCCCAGGACCCCAGTCTCATGTCCCCATGTCTTGTGGTCCTGTGTCCATCCCTCCTGTGTCCCCACAGCCCCATGTCCCCCTGTCCCCATGGCCGTGTGTCCCCAGGACCCAGTAGCCCCTGTCCCCCTGGCCCCATATCCCTCTGTTCCCATATCCCCCAGTCTGCCCCTGTGTCCCCCAGTCTGTCCCCATATCCCTCTGTTCCCATATCCCCCAGTCTGCCCCTGTGTCCCCCAGTCTGTCCCCATCCTCAGGGACATCCCCAAGCTGCTTTTGGGGACCCGTCGGGGCTTCTCCACCCA